GGGTGGATTATTCCCCGTAAAAAGAAAAAAAAGAAAAAGATTTTGCCAAGGCTTTTGACAGCGTACCCCATGAAAAGCTGAGAATTAAACTGGAAGGGTACGGGATTCGGGAAGTGTCCTAGAGTGGAGCGGAAACTTTCGGCTTGACCGCAAACAGTGTGTGGTGATAAATGGTACGAAATCGTCTTGTGTGCCTGTCACTAGCGGGGTACCACAGGGCAGTGTATTGGTCCCGTTGTTGTTTGTCTGTTTCATAAATGACATGCCAGAAGCTATACACTCCTCCATACAAATGTCTTATGGACGATTCCAAGATGTTTAGGGAATTTCCGAACCAAAGAGAGCGCGTAGAACTATAGAAAGATCGGTGACCGGTAATAAAGTCACAGGAAAAAAAGTCACAGAAAAAGTCACAATTTTGGCTAGGAAAAAAAGTCACAGGGAAAAAAGTCACATTTAAGGTAATAAAACTAAAAATATTTTAAAACAGTTATTAACTGACAATACACGACTTTTACATATTGACAACACAATTTATATATGATGCACTTAGGTTAGGTTAGGTGACTTTTTTCTGTGACTTTTTTCCTGTGACTTTTTTACCTGGATTCGAAAGATCTCCGTAATCTTATAGAATGGTAGAAAAAATGGCTACTAAGACTCAATGTCACGAAATGTAAGAGGATGCATCTACACGTAGGTCGTACCAACGGTAAGGAGGCGTATCATATGTCCCAGACGAAGACACTGCATTAATAGAGACCGAATGCGAAAAGGACCTGAGTGTGTATGTTGACAATGAACTGAAGTTCTCGGGCCATTGTGAGAAGAAGGTCAACCAAGTAACTAAACTAGTAGGTCTTATAAGAAGGCCGTTCAGATATCTAGACGGTCCCTCGTAGCGATCTTTAAGAGTGAGGTGTTTTCCCGCCTGGTGTACTGTCACCCCGTCTGGAGTACTGTCACCCCGTCTGGTCCTCGAGATATGCTAGGGATTGTCAGTGCGATTGGAATGTCCGAGGGCCACTAGACTGGTGCCTGCACTTCGGCACCTCAGCTATCTGGAAAGATTAGAGCGCCTGCTACTGCCTAGCTTATGCGACAGACAGGCAAGGGAGGACCTAATTGAAGTGTATAAATATCTCAAAGAGCACTACTCAGTCGAGTGTCCATACCTGGAGCTGGCGGTTGCCTGCCCCACAAGTAGTCACAGCTTAAGGTTGAAGAAGCCATAAGTCCAGAAAACAGTGAGAGCAAAATTTTTCAGTGTTTGGACAAGTTATGGGTTCTGAGCAAACACAAGCAAACACACTCTGTCACGTTCGTAGAGTGATACAGTATATATAATTTGTAATAAAAGTTTAAAGTCCTGCTATAATAGTCGAGATAAGTTTATTTCTCCAAAAACGGGTCCGCCATTTGCAATGACGTCACCAACTTCCCTGCAGACGACGCAGGGATGGCGATATGAGTCAATTGAGAGGTAATGATATTGTTGTCTGCACTTTGTTTCGAGAATACATTGGGCTTGGGCTATATCTTTTTTTTTTTTTTACGGGGATTAGCCCACCCGGGCACAGGTCACTGACCCACATCGGGGCCTGGGGGCGAAAACGTAATAATAATTACAATAATAATAATAATTAGTTCAAAGTAATTAAAATTTATAATAAATACAAAATTAAAAAAAATATAATAATAACAATAATAATAATAACTGATAATAACACTGATAATAATAATAATAATAATAATAATAATAATAATAATAATAATAATAATAATAATAATAAAGAACCATATAGATATACAAAAATGAAAAAAGATCAATAGTGAGAAACGATATACACTATGTACAGTATGTTGTGTTGTCAAAGTAAGAGAAACAATTGAGACCCTGCAATTTTATGTAAATGAGGCAGAAAGTCAATTCAGTAACCTGGGACTTGGTCACAATTTTCGTGATGCCATATGGCAGCAGGGTCTACCATTAGACAACACATTATGCTTCCAATATCTTCCCAGGCAGTAGTATCTCCCTGTTCAGTAGCTGCCTACTATCTACGAGCCTACCTATTAATTATTAGATAACATTTTACTTTAACTACCAGAAGTATTTTGATGTTTAGATTCGAGATAGGCTATATTGGGTAAATTTTAAGTTTTGGTCATCCCTGTACTTAGACATGCAGACTATGTTTTTTTCTGATGGTTTGCGATGTGAGATGAACGATTTTGACCTTCATTTCTATCGGAAATCACTAGTTTTGAGTTACTACCCCCCCATTAACGGTGCATGTTAAGCTAACCTTATAACTTATAATATAACTTATCATACCCTAACCTAACCTAACCTAACCTAACATATGACCTGTATTTTCTTATGCGATCGAAAAATATTTTGCGACAGAAATCCTGTGGAGATAATGTGTCTTAATGTTTAAAGTACTTAATCCCACAGTTAGAATCTTAAGGTTCCCCAGATGACCAAAACCAAAATAATACCAAAATTTTTTGGAATGTTTATACCTGTACTATGAAATTTGTAGTAGGGGCAGCATACTGTATACCCATTGAATTAGTTAATGTGCTTAGTAATATTTATATATTCAATACAGCATTACTGTGTTACACAGTAAAGCACAATTAATTATCTAATAAAATTTATTTACAGAGCCGATCAGCCGAGAAGGTTGGACAACTACATCCAGGGTTCATCAGGGCAGATGAAAGAAATTTACCAAAAGTAGATGTCTTTATGATTGTAGAGTATTATCAATAACTCCGCCGTCCAGCTATGAAGCACGTTAACTCACATCTGTCATCTGATCATCTCAAGCCCATCCCCTGGCCATGGTCGTCCCTAGTCCTTCCACAACATTAAATATAGACATAAGTGATGAAAATTTAAATTTTCCAGACATGAAATAGAGAACAGTGATGAAAACTTCCATGTTGGAGTTATCGGTCTTTTGCATCAGTTTGGCACCCAGCAAGTAAATACACACAATGATACTTGAACAGTAATTTATTTTAACCTAATAATGAGGTGTGCCTGTGTAGTTCAACATTGTACTATATATGGCCACAACTCCTGTATTTCTGCTGGTAACAACACAAACACCACGGTAGGCGGCTACCAAACAGGGAGGTACTACCGCCTGGGAAGATATTGGAAGCATAATGTGTGGTCTAATGGTAGACCCTGCTGCCATATGGCATTACAAAAATTGTGACCAAGTCCCAGGTTGCTGATCTGACTTTCTGCCTCATTTACACACAGTTGCAGGGTCTCAATTGTTTCTCTTACGGTTGACAACACAACATACATACAGTACATAATTATGAAATTTCTCACTAATGATCTCTTTTATTTTTTTATTTATGGTTTTTATTATTATTATTTTATTGTTATTATTATTTTATTTTTATTTTTTATTATATCTTTTATTTACTACGAACTAATTATTATTATTATTATTATTATTATTATTATTATTATTATTATTATTATTATCAACATTATTATTATTATTATTATTATTATTATTATTATTATTACATTTTCGCCCCCCCAGGCCCCGATGTGGGTCAGTGACCTGTGCCAGGTGGGCTAATCTAAAAAAAAAAAAAAAAGCTGGCTACTCCAGGCTCCTGCACGGTGGCTCTAGCCAACCGGTGACGTCACAACCAATCACAGAGCTTTTCACAGTCACGTGCCTCTTTAACTACTTTAACCCTTATGTTTTATACTTTCTGGCCCAATTTATTAAAAAATATCATTACCATAGTGAATTTAAGCGTTTTCTTTTCCCATTGACGTGCAATCTTACGATAAAATTCTGACAACTCATCCAATTTGAACTTTTGGAACAACCTGCCAGAGAGTGTTGTGACGAATCCAGGTAAAAAAGTCACAGGAAAAAAAGTCAGAAAAAAGTCAGGAAAAAAAGTCACCTAACCCAACCTAACCTAACCTAACAACAACCCAACCTAACCTAACCCAACCCAACCTAACCTAACTTAACCTAACCTAACCTAACCTAACCTAACCTAACCTACGTGCATCATATATAAATTGTGTTGTCAATATGTAAAAGTCATGTATTGTCAGTTAATAACTGTTTAAAAAAAATTGTTTTAATACCTTAAATGTGACTTTTTTTCCTGTGACTTTTTTTCCTGTGACTTTATTACCGTTCACCGTTGTGACGGCACCGAGAGTGAGTTCTTTCAAGACCAGACTTGAACTCTGGAGCAGGATCAGATACATTCAGGAGCCAGTGCATGCCCAGTACTTGCCAACAGTGAGTAACAGACGTGACCGATCGCCCAAGCAGTAACGAGCCGATCAGTGGCGAAGAGGATAAAAGTAAATAAAATTCAGTACCTAACCTAACCTAACCTGATTTAGGTAAAAAAAATTGCGATAGCTGTTGTTGTTATAATGTTACAGTGAAACCTCTGTTTAACGGACTATATAGAGAGGAAAATCCGTTACATTGAGGGTTTGTAATGTGAAATCTCCATCTTACGGATTATATGGCGAGAAGAGTCCGTTATATAGAGGTTTCACTGTATTACTGCGCTTCAACAACAGTCTTAAAGCGCGTAGCAAAGTTAGCAATAAGATAAGATAGGGAAGGACGATAACTTTACCGTATAAGACACTAATTTCCATGAAGTTATAAAAGTAATACAAAATAAGTTATTCTCCTTTTGAACCAGAGTCCGTTGTGTGTTGTAACGCTTAAATAAATTAACTATAACATATATAACAGTTTTTACACAGAAAACACGACAGAAAACAAAGTGCTTAGGATAACTAAAATATCCTATTGTGAAAGTTAACAGTCAATAAATATTGAAAATGAATGTTTTCTAGATAATTTGATTAAGAATACACGTTCGCTGGAGGAATCTGTCATGCAAACACAAACAAATAAATAAAAAAAAATAGAGAGAGAAAACAATATCACATAGGTGAAACATTTTTAAACCTGCAATCTGAAGAATTTCTTAAAGGGAAACTTCTCGTCAAAGACATCTTGAAGCGTTTCTAAGTTGGGGAGGTCCTGGCAGTCCACAAAGAGATTGAGGTCTTCATCAGCATAACAGGTGCACGGGACTAGCTCCTCTGGGTTCGGGCAGGGCCACGCCTTGACGCTGTAAGTAAGGGGAGTGACCTCTGGTGAGCCTCTTATCACTTGCAGGTCATGTACAGTACATACTGTGCCTACCTCCTTACCTTTTTTTCCTCCTACCAATCCTCTCTGTCTGTCTATGTCAGGTTACGTTATTTTATATTATGTTACGTTAGGTTAGCGTTAAGGTGGTTAAGTTAATCCAAAGGTGAAATAAGATGGAGTGTCTAAATTTCAGTTTATCCAGACTAAGGTATATACACCCGGGCCAATTTCAAATCTACTGACCCAGAAATGAATGAATGAGAATCGAATGTTTGCTAAAATAAAGTCAAAGACCTCTAACGGGTATCATTAAGGTGACTGAGGTGTAGGTGGAGTCATTTGAGAACGACAGTAGTAAAGAGAGATACTCACTCATCTTGATACATAGAGTGTCCAGTAGGCAGGGTGACAGCTAACAACAGCAGATAGAGCAGCGCGTCAGGATTCTGCAATATAAATCTCAATTTAATATCACTTTTTGTTACTGAGTACTGCTACGTGCCAGATGCCAAAAATTCTTAATGATAAAAAAGTTAAACATAAAGACAAACAGAGAGGCATAGAGTTACTCAAACATATACAGACAAAATAAACACATCTAATTATAGCTTGCAGTGGGCTCATTATTCCAATAGCTTAACTTAACCTAACTAAATCAAACCTAATCTAACATGAAACTAAACCTATCTTAACCAAGTCTGACTTAAATCAAACTAACCCTAACCTATGTAAAATATATCCTAGTTTAACCTAAGCCTAACCTAAATTAAAACAAACCTAACTTTAACATAATCTAACCTATCTAAATTCATCCACACAATACCTAACCTTATCAAATTGAAGTCTCTCTGACTGACGAACAGTCTACACTAGAAACAATAATGGCGCATCCTGTCATATGGAGGACGTGTTCCTGTCGTCAAGGTCTGAAGAAAATAAGTCCTGTTCTGTAGTGTACGGAAATGCAACCACTCATACTCATGACGACACACCCCCTCTACCACCGATCCAGCTCAGTACATATTGAAAGAATAGAAGCATGCACGTGTTTCCTTTATCCTTTAATTACTGGTTATAATTACGAAGTTTAGAGTGGGATTATAAACTTGTGAAATCATGCCTACTAATTATACAGTGTATGGTTGCTACTCAAGCTACAAACATAAGGGGAATATTATTTTTCACAGATTTCCCAAGAATGAAGAAGTGACAAGAAGAAGCGCTTCCTTATGTAGAAGACAAGATTCTAATGATATTTACAGGGGAGTAACATAGAAAGTGTATTTTGAAAGTTGTGTAAAATAGCATAAAATATTTTATTGTTTTTAATATAATTACATGCACCATTCAGTTGTTTGTGATCATACACACTGCAGTGCACAAATTTCAGGTTCGTGGTGTGTTTTCTCTTCCTTGGTGCCCAGTAAACGTTAAAACACCATAAGTTCCGGTATACAAGAAACAAGCTCATACTGATGGTTGAAAATGCTTGACCAAAATTATGGCACATCATTCATAAAGTCTTTGCCACAGAGTACCAGAAGTTTAACTCAAACAGCTGCACTATTTCTATGAATAATACTCATATGCATCTCTCTGGGGTATAACTCAATACTGTATTGTATTACACAAAATATTTTCTAAAGTGACATCATCGCGCCAGCACCATAAAAATCGTCACTAAAATTTTTATTTTAACTTTCACAAGATGTAGTACAGTAATACAAAAAAAAATATTTAATATAATGTTTAACTGCACACGAATTCTGTCAAAATTGGTAAAGTTATGCTGTGTTTGATGTTTGTATAATTATTAGCTTTACAAATTTTTTTTATTCAACTGGTATTATTTCTGTATGCATATATTTCACTATACAATAAACTGAACTTGTTTGTAGTACTGTAAGTCTAACAATGAAAATTTTTTTCTTAACAGGAATTATATGACCAGATGGTCAAATTTTTGTTTAATGTCACACGATTTGAGAAATACAATATGTTAGTATACAAGCGTTCTGAGGAGGGAGGGTGACGTCATAAAGCCCCCCCACATGCGCATGAGCACATCCTTTTATTCTTTAGACCTTATTGTGCGTACAGTACCCCACAAGGTACGAATCCATTTAGTGGGCGAATTTGTGCTACCTTGTCGTGATGTGGGGGCTCGAGCGAATCACTTTCAAATACCTGGGATGGGTATTAAAGTTCTCATCTTGTAACCTCAAATAATGAGGTTGAAAGTGAGTCGTCACTAAACTGGCAAATTCTTTACTCCGTTTAATTAATCTTGTGATGATAAAAGGTTTGGGACATCCATTCTCATTAACTTCATCTCTTGCCCTTGAACAACCATGGACAGACAATAAGCGATTCTCAGGCGTTCCTGTTGGATCATCGTCAACTAAAGGTCCAACCACATTGCCTCCCGAGAGCTAGCAAGTACTGTCCGAGCAAAACAAAGCCTTGGACATTAAACACAACTACAGAAAGTTTATGGATAAACACACACAAAATCAAGATTGGAACATGGGATGTGAGGACATTATATGAGGCTGGTAAGTATGCAAGTGTTTGTTGGGAAATGAAGAGACTGCAGTGGGACATTATGGAACTAAGTGAAGTAAGATGGACAGGTTCAAATAGCATTAGTGGTGAAGATTTTTTCTTCATATATTCAGGTTGTGAAAAACATGAGAGAGGTCATGGTATTCTTGTGAACCAGAAGTTGAACAGCAGTGTAAAGGGATATTGGGCAGTGTCAGAGAGAGTTTTGTAAGTCAAGTTTACAGTAATGCTAAACCCATGGACTTGGTAATAATGCAGGTTGATGCACCAACAAATGACGTTAAGGATGAAGTCTTAGTAAAATTTTATGAAGAATTAAAGAAAACAAAAGACTACATACAGTTTAATTATTGTCTGATTATAACGGGTGATTTGAACGCAAAAGTTGGGAAAGGGAAAGAAGTATCAGAAGAAGGACCCTAGAGGTTGGGTAATAGAAATGAGAGAGGAGAAATAGTAATTAACTTTTGTAAGGAAAACAAGATGATAATTACAAATATATGCATCTCACCAGTAAAGGGAACCATTTGATCGATAAATATATTACCCAAGACCAAACCCAGTGCCTCCAGGAATACAAGGAGACCTCTACACAAACACATGAACAATGCGGCGGTCGACAAAGTTATGAAAAATGACTCAGAAATTCAAGACGTGGGTTAGGAAAAATTATGAGCCGGGCAAGAGGATATATGCCACATCCAGGAACCAAGTAATGTCAGAGTGTAGAAGGGCTGAAAAAGAGTTCCAGAGGCTGGTTGCAGGCGAGGTCAAGTCAAACCAAAAGGCTTTTACCGCTACGCAAAGTCGAAATTATAAAAGCGAGTAGGAGTATCGGACCTGAGGCTTGAAGATGGTAATTACGCAGGTTCTGACCAGGATAAGGCGAAGGCGTTGTAGAACTTCTTTTCCTTGGTGTTCACAAGAGAGGATGTGAACAATCTTCCTGCGTTTGAGGTCAGACGGTTTGACACAGTGCTGACCCACATTGTGTTCGTATAAGAGGATATAAGAATTAAACTGTCAAAGCTAAAGGTTGTAAATGCCTGGATGAACAAAAGGTCCCCGATGACTGGAAAATGGCTTATGTGAGTCCTATATTCAAGAAGAGAGATCCACGAATAACTAAAGACCAGTGACTCTGACCAGCATAGTATGTAAAGTACTTGAGAGCATTATAAGAGATGCCATTATGGAACATCTACTCCGAAATAACCTTGTAAAGGACTGCCAAAACTGTTTTATGCCAGAACGCTCCTGCTTGACACAATTACGTAAGATACTGAATGTTTGGACCCAAATTTTGGAACAGGGTGGCAATAACGACAATATAAACCTAGATTTTGACAAGGCTTTCAACAGCGTACCCCATAAAGGGGTATATTATATTACTGTTTTGAAATAAAGACCATAAATATGAAATTAAAAAAATTCAGTTCAGGAAAAAATCGGAAATTTTCTAAACAACAAACAAACAAACAAACAAATAAACAAACACACTTTGGTTTGAAAAAAATTATATGGAATAAAATGTTTTTATAAGGCCACGATACATAACATATCCAAATTTCAGCATGTTTGGGCCAAAAATAAGGGAACTGTTGCAGTTAGAAAAACTGTTCGGGAGGCGCTACCGAGGTCAGTGGCTAGGTGCGCTGTAGGCACCCAGGGGGCGCTGTTCAGTTGGCACTATATCAGAAAATCTTTCCTAACCCAAGTTGAATATGTGGCCAAAGTCTCATAATTCTATACAAAAGTGTACAATCAGGCCTATTATATGTGCTTATCCGCCCCACTTTATGTATATTGTGCATTTGCATAGTTTATATATATATATATATATATATATATATATATATATATATATATATATATATATATATATATATATATATATATATATATATGTGTGTGTTTACTACTACTTTTTTTTATGTGGCCTCCAGCCTCCCCCAATAGCCACACCTTCGCCGCCATTTTATTACCTTAAAATTAAATATCCTAATACATAAGTAGCTACCCAAGCTGTGTTGAGTTAGTTGAGCTACAGATCTATGCTGGATTCAGTGACTGTTGCCTCATAGTCAATATCTGCAACTGTTGTCGGCTTTGGGGCCGATGCTCTCGTTCCCCTGAGGCTTAGCAAAGCCGACCTAAGGAGAGAGAAGGACAGTCGACAGCTCATCCAGGCTGTAACATAACTTCTGGGCTGCTGCTTCTGTTCGAATAGCCCCTCCGCAAGTCTGGCATAGAAGCATCTTGCACTTGGTCCCATCCCACCAGAGGTTGTGAACACTAGAAGAGTGAAACTGCCTTGATCAACGTTCTGAATTCTCTCCCCGTATGTCCTTATCTTGTCGTTCTCGTTCCACCTGTGTGCAGCATCTACTGTAGAGCTAAGTTATGGTGACATGCGGCCATGGGATCAAAAATCCTGATGTGGAGGAAGGCTCGTTGTCCCGGCATCCAGAATCCTCGAGCACTGACGTCTACACGGGCTTCGTTGGATGTGTTTGAAGTCCTATGTTGGAAATTCTCACCGTTCAATGGAAGGAGGGTCGGCTCTACCCTGACATCATAGCAGATTTTTTTCAACATATTTGCTGTGAGATCCCTTACTTCGTCATGCCACATGCATATGAAGCCCCTTTCTTGCACACCATGGCGTGATCGACGCCACAGGAAGAGCCACACACGCATTGGGAGGGCAAACCTTCTACTGGCCTCCCATACCTTAGAGCATTGGCATCTGTAAATTCTTGTTTATTGAGACTGAAACCATTTGCCCTTATCGGTAACGTAGTCAGCCAGTTCGAGGCGCCCACCTCTTGCGCTATAGCTACTTATTTTTTCAAATTCTCTGGTACTTGCAGCAACAGTT